CCGGGGCCCGCGGCGCGGCGGGGGCCGGGCACCGCGCTCCGCTCCTCGCGCCGGGCGCGTTTTCTTCTCGGAGACTTTTTGAACTTGTCGCTTGTCACCTCTGCGGCATATGCCGGGGGGGGGGAGCTGCTTTCCCCCTCCCCGAGTGCCTCCCCGTGCGGTTGGGGCGGGGGGCGGGCTCTTGAAACGGAGGGGAAAGATGGGAGGCCGGAGGAGCTGCTCGCTGGAGTTCCCTGCAGGCTTTTGGGATCAAGCCCTCCGAGCTGAGCGAGTGGAAAAGTAACCTGATTGATGGGCAGCCGGGAATCTCTGCTTCCCAGGGCAGGAATGCGGTGCCTGAACACACAGGCAGGGCAGTCATCCAACCTGGAAACTTCTCTGCTAGTCCCTTCATTGTCAGTGCTGCAATCCCGCCTGCCCTCTGCACTTCGTCTTCCCTCCTACTGAGACCCCAGACTCGCAAATGGATGAGAGGCTTTTGGGGGGCTCTTAAAAAAACCTTCTCTCGGGAGATGCTATAGAAATGCAAGGTGGTAGCAGTTTGTTATCGATGGGCAAACTCTCTGTCATTGTTGGTTGAAGTGTTTTAAATTTGGTTGTTTCCCCCCTCCCCCCCAGCAGAAAATGTGTTAAAAGAGCAGTCAGTGGGAGAAATTCATGTTTGCATGATGTATGTATGAAAATACGAAATTCTAGTCTTCATCATTCACGTGTTTCCCCCCCCTTCTCTGAATCAGGATTTTGATGTGTGCATGTTCTGCCCCTCATACATGTATCTCTGTAGGAAATAATTTCAGCAAACTTAATAGATAAGAATAACATGAGTTTAAAGTACAAGGAAAAAAGATCAAAAAGTCTAAGTTTTGTGAATCTCAGAGACTTATGGGATTTTTAAGGTTTTCTTATCTCTGAGTATATTAGGAAAAAATAGTTTTTTCTTACTCACTGTAAGAGCCTAGCAGTTAATTAAATATTCCATCCATTTTACTTAATTTGAAGTGTACTTGAAAACCTCTGTTTCAAAAGAGGGTGTTGACTCTTAATGTAATTTGGTGCAGAACAGTTCAAAATAATGGTGACTTAGTGCATTTATGGCCCTACTTCCTGTTAATTGATGTAGACTTATTAGCATTTTCCTTTAGTGAAGCTGTGACGGTATATTCAAGTTCCTTTAAAATATGAACTTTTTGTAATATGGAAAGATATATTTCTAATCCTACATTAGAAACAGATGTGCCATATGTAAGTCCTTATGACAAAGATTGTGGAGTCACAATTAAGGTTGCAATACCATTTCTTTTCTAGGACCTCTCTTTTGATCCCCTAATATTACTGCATAAGAAATAAAGTGGATTGCATCTTAACATCTTAGCTATTCGTTTGCCAATAGATGTGGATGTGACTAATAGTCACTTGCGCCAAGAGTCAATCAAATGGAATGCCAAGTAACAATTGTCCTACACACTTGAATCAACCAATGCCTGTTTTCTCTTTGGTTTAAAATCCCTATAAACATGATTCAGTAAGCTTACAAGCCTCTATGGAATAGCACTATTTTATTGTGTCATTGTTGAAAGTTTGTTTTTTTCCTTAAAAGTTATTTTACTAAAAATTAGATCTCAACTGCCTTTCTGATTTATACTAGAAATAGATGAAATAAAGAATCTTATTTGAATTCAGGGAAAGGTCCAGCTGAGTTTACTTCAGAAAAGTATTGACATTAGGAATATTTTGATGCACTATTGAACTTTATCTCATGGAGTCCTCCTGCTGCTGATGCAATCAGCATGAGGCCTAATTCTGTGAAAATCTGCCCACTCGTGAGAACTTTTGATGGGAGGTGAATGTTCAGTAACGTGAGACCTTTGTTCTTGCTCTCAAGTTTTGAATTGTCCTGGTTGGAACTTGTTTCTGATAGAGAAATGTGACTTACTGCTACATACAGATCAGGAATCAGTTGTTGTGCAGTCTGTTTTCTTCAGAACAGGACTACTAAAATGGTCTGCTTAACTTACGCCTCCCAAGGAAGTTGACACTGCGGTACATAGGGATTATTGCCGCTAGTTTGGAGTAACAAGGAATGAATGACTAACATATTAAAAAACATAGTTTAGTGTGTGCACTTAAAATATTATTGAATTTACATGGATGAGTCTTGTAAACCAGTTGGGGGGGGAATATTTGTGTAAATTGATTCTTGGGAGTGTTTGACAGAAGCATGCTTAAAGAATGCAAGGGCTGTATTAGGACTGAACTATAAGTTTGAGTTTCCTGGTTGGAGCAAGCTTTGCTCAGCTGATTTTCCCCAACATTCACAAGGAGAAAACTAACTAATATTTAACTATTGTCAGATGCATCCATCATCTGAGGAGGATCTCATAGTAGCAAATTGTTGTTGGGTGACGGCACAAACCAGGGTAAAGGGAATGCGTTTGAAATATGCACTTTCGGTGTGTAAACAACCTTCTGTTCCGGGATAAGAGCTCTGATCTCATTAAACCATTGACACGGGCCCAGCAGGGGCTGCTGTGCTCTAAATGTTTTAATTACTGTGTAGGCTGGGGGTTGAATTGCAGCCCTCCTGTTCCACATGACTCTGAATTATAGAAAAAAAAAAGGAATTTTGTGGCATCCATGAAAAGTATGAAGGCCTGAATTATCTTCTATTTTTAATGCTAATTGAAGCCACTAGGGCTGTAAATCACAAAAGCCTCTTAGGGCAGGGGAATAGTTTTTATTGCTACTTTATGAATGAATTAACTTGTGGCTGGAAAAAAAAGAGGGAAGTTTCCTGTCATTGTGTGGATGAGCCTTCATTAGTTTTCATTTATTTAGCGTGTTTAGTTACAAAGTATTTCTGCAGACCAACTTTATTTGCAAAACATAAAAAATAATTAAATGAATGGAGAAGCTGCTCTGCACTAGAGGGGATGGTTTCAAGTATAGGATTTGCTTAATTCAATTTACTCTTATCTTCAGAGCTGTAACAGATGTTGCTAGTTTTTTTGTTTTACTTGTGTGGCTCGTTGATATTAGAGTTTGGAGTTGAAAATTGTCATTTTTAACTAAACAACAATGGATTCATGCTGAACCAAGTTGAGAGAGATCACTTTGGAAAACTACAACTAGGTAGAACTTTAGTTTTCTAGCTACATTGTAACAGTCTTATACTGCTCATAATCCTAATATTCATCCTTATTGACGTTCATGAGCTGCCCATCCTGACTGGGATGAGTAGAGTATTAAATAGTGAGCAACATTATTGGTTCTAAGATTGGGACATGTTCTCTGTATGTTCTCTGCCTGTAACTTCCATTGACATTAATGGGCACTTCATACATTGTTTGAGAAGAGAATAGACCACAGAGTGTCATCTTCCAAACTCTTCATTTCTGTTAAAAACAGTCCATTTAATGGTGTATTTATGGTTCAATAGCTATGTATCTTAGATGCAAAAGCATACATGTGAATAGTTTTAAGCTTCCCTGGATCCTAATATAATGAAAAAAACCAAAATTACCTGTTCATGTTTCATGGCTCAGTAAGTCTTGAAGGCCATTAAAATGGTATTTTTAATTAAAAAGCTGAATTTTAAACATTGCTCTTTGTAATATTTTTTGGTCATCCTAGGCATAGAACTGTATTAAAAGGTTGTCCTTTTATAGTCACAGTAGCAGTAAGTTGAACAATTTGTATGGATGCCATATTGCTGTATAACTGCTTAAAATGATATTCACTTTTATAACTTTCATATTTTCAAGTATGTGCATAGTCTTAGCTCATGGATTGGCTTTTTATAAAAAAAAATATTGCATTGACTTACTGATCCCTGGTTAAAGTGAAGAGTGCATATGTATGTTCTAGATATTAGTAGGGTTTGAAAATTGTATTAAGTTTGTGTGCATCAGGTGTAGTAGAACAAAATAAAATCTTCCAAATGTTGCATTTAAAGAGACAGAAGGGAAAAAGCTGTGAGTGCTTTTGAAATTTTGGTGCCCACAAACCAAGATAATTTAATTAGTGGTGCACTTAGTACATCTTGACAGCTCTGGTTTGGGAAAATTATGATATGAACATTAACAATCAAAGAGTCTCTGAAAGTATTAGTGCCATGGTGATGAGATTAGTCAATTGGCCAATACTGTAGCAGAATCCTGGATTCCAAGGGAATTATCCTTGAATGATACCAGTTGGTACAATTAAAAGCCACAATACAGTTGCCATATGGAAAGTGTTAGACGTCCTTACATGGTTTCAAAGCTGTGTGCTGGAGGTTAAATTGACATATGAAGAAAAGCATAAATTAAATATTTTGTGTTATGAAATTAAAAAGTTGACTGCTCAAGCCATATGGAGGAGGTGGCTGGGAGATGATCTGCATTTCATCTGAGCTTGTTTCAAAGATACTTTAGATTTCATGTGGTGCGTTGTTAATTTGGGATGTTGATTGGAAAGCTGAATGGCCCATGAAGTCTCTGCAAATAAACCTTGTTAAAACAATTGACTTGATCACTTTAAACAAAAAAAATGAAAGATAGAATTACT